AATAAGAATTATAATTCTCTTTTTATGTAAAATATAATGTAATAATTAATTGTAACAAAGTTATTAAAAATTTTTTATCAGCTCTAACTGTTTAGTTATTGGAACATCTTTTGAATGGTCTCATGACTTTTGATTCTCATTATCGGGTCATTATTAGTGTTAAAACTAAAGTCAAACTAATTTAACTGGATGTCCAAAAAATGTATACTTTTGAGATATTCAAAAACAGTTGATTAAAATTACTTAATTCATATATCAATTTTCAGTCCATTTTTTCAATTCCTTTGGTTCTTGAATATTATCTTGCTAACTTACTATATATTCTACTCATATGGATTAAAAATGTAGGGTTAAAAATTTTTGTTGAGTTAATTTTCAAACATTTTTATGCAAACTTATCTTGCAAATAGTTTTTGTGGAAAAATTGTCCATCTATTTTCTTCTTTCCTACACTGATTTTCAATTGCCTTTTTCGACATTAACTATATTATAACCTATTATTGTTATTAGTGTTTATTGTATGTATGTTGATCTTTTTTTCGAGTCAGCGCAACTGGGCACTTTTACTCTTTGATAGCTGGGGGTACTACAGGGTCCCACCCATCTCATTGACTAATTTATGTATTGCCTATAAGCTTCATGATTATTCAGTGATTGATCTAAGATCTGCGTACCTCCCCGTGCGGAGAGTGATTACTCTAAGATTAGATAGTGATAAGTAGGATAGCCTGTCAATTTTCGCATATAACTCCAGGGATCTATCCCTTATGTATATTTTGATCGGGTCTATTCTAAGGTCTCTTAGCATGTTTATTATATTATTAATAAATTTGTGGGTATTTGTCGAAAAAATCAGTGTCTAGCCGAATTCACAAAAAAGGTGCGTAATTAAAGGTAATTAATTCTTCATTTCGGCAATTCTTGAAGACTCGTTTTAAAAATCATTTATTAAACTATAGATCATTAAAAAAAAAACAATAATATAGATATTACACAGACATGTGTGTTGATCTAACAAATAATTTTAGAAACTTTAAATGGTCTTCGATATCTATTTAGACTATACTATCCAAAAAAATTATTTTCGTGATATATAAAAAATTTAAATAAGACTTTATGATTAATTTTACGATAAAATCGTACTAACCGAAACATATAAATATGACTCAAATGGCTAAGTTAATAACTTTTCAGAAATCATTAAATTAAAATTATTTCGAATTTTTTAACAAGCAAAAATTTATTAATCGATAAAAAAAAATTAATAGTAAAAATAACTGATTTGATAGATAATACAAAAAAAAAAAAATAAAATTCATTGATAAAATATTTCTTAACAAGCCAAAAATAAAAATTTAACACTCGCCGCAATAAAAAGCAAAACAGTTGCAGTCATAAAATCCTATCAAATGACAATTAGTAATTTAGTGAACTGTTATAAATGATCAAATTAAATTTAATTTAATAATAACACAAAAACGGGCCACACAATGACATTGAAAATCAATGAATTACAAAAAGATTAAATCAACAGCAAAGTGTTAAAATGCTCAGATACTTTTTACACAAAACAAATAAAAAAAACGAAAAAAAACTTAAGTTGTTTTTTTTTTCTGTTTCCAAGAAGTACTGAAACCTTCCCTCCGCCTACAGTAGCGCTAAGATATTTTCATTCCATGTGCATTGAAAGTATTTCAATTCTTTTTTACGGCGCTGCATTTTGCATTTACATTTAATACATACATTTTTATTTTATAGATACATTTGTATCTTGTAGATACATTTGTATTTCATAGATACATTTGTATCTTGTAGATATATTTGTATTTCATAAATTTATTTGTATCTTGTAGATATATTTGTATTTCATAAATTTATTTGTATCTTGTAGTTACATTTGTGTTTTATAGATACATTTGTGTTTTATAGATACATATGTATTTTACAAATATATTTTTATTTAACATATTCATATATATACTTAATACATTTAACCCTTTTTTATGTTTAAATAGCTTTTCGGCTATACAGAAAGCTGTAGAAGTAGTTCTGAATTGTGAAAGTTATAGTTGAGCTGATTTTATTCTGTAGTTATTCAACCGATTATAACATATGACCCGCTTATTTGGCGTACAAAAACTCTAGAACCACCTTTACTAACAAACTTGACAAGTTACAGAGTCTAGCAAACACCTACATAACTAGTTGTTCAAGAACAACTTACAAAGCACCACAAATACCTTACATGGTACCCCGGAAAAAGCAAATGGACGCATCCATCACCATACATAGACTATATGATTAAAGAAAAAAAGTGTGTTTATAAAGGGAAAAATATTCGTATTGGCTAAATTAATATTATCTGAAGACTTTGTTATGTCTCTAGATCAAATGTTCCCAAAATAGTTAACCAACAGTAAACACACCCAACAGAATGGGGCGGAAAGAAGACAAAATCAATATCACTACCCCTGACATTATCTAGTATATAGTTGGCTGCAAAATTGCACAGGGTTGAGGATTCTACAGCTCAAAGAAACGAATATCTGTCAGTATTGGGCCGAAATCTGTACCATAAATATGTGAGGAAAGCAACTGCTATTAAGACATGAAAGGTCAATCCAATTCTTGGATAATCAGGCAAAGATTAGTTTGAGAGAGCAGTCTAAATATTTTAAATGACCTTTTAATTATGAATCAAGTGACTTTACACTGTATACTTGCAGAGACAGTGGTTTTGATGTCAATAAAGTGACAGATAAATCGGCGAAAGCTGCTTCAAGCAACCATATGAGCCAAAACCATTTCTGGGTATCAAAAATAATCAATTTAGAAACCTAGATAAATTGAAATCTACCAGTAAGACTAATCGCAATTGATTCAACGGGATAGAGTGCCGCTTTACCAAACTTTTCTTTCCGAAATACTCTAAGACGAAAAGCAAATATATACTAAATCTTGAACAGATCTGATTTAAACACCTTGATTGCAGTGTTAACTGGTCACTTCCTTTTAAACAAATATAAAGTGCTATTAAAACTATCTAGAAAATGATGAATATAGACCATGTCTGAAAGATGTAGAAACAATTCCTACTCATTATTAGAGAATACTCTAATACTTTTGAACCAGAAGAAATGTAAGAGATGTCAACTCGCAAAAGAAAATTTGGATAGATCGGGCATACATTTTGAAATGCTCCTACTGAATTTTATCAACAGACGTTGGTGTACGACCCTCAAGGTAGCAGAGGAAGAAGTCGTCCAAAAACAGCATGGAGACGGTCAACGTTAAATGAAATAAATATCGTTTTGCAGCCCCTAGGAAGAAGAATAAGTAACATTACTAATATAAAGGACGTAGCGTTGTGGCGCGAAGCTGGAAGCGATAGCCTATGCCCAGTATAAGAGGCTGCTCGAAATCATTGACGTCGAGCAAGGCTAAGATATTTTTATAAAGAATAATTCCGTTCTGACATTCCTTCTAATTCCTGGTAGTTAAAAAAAAATATATATGAATTATGTTTTAAAAAAAAATATTTGAAAAGGCCATTGATGTTGGAAACTTGAAAACACTCTAAACTCAAATATGAACCACTAAAAAATCCATCAGAAATATTTCGGGAATATATTCATTACAGATACTTTAATTTTAATTATAGATACTTTATCAAACGCAAATATCTTGCAATTACAAGAGTTTTTTATCTTAATACTTGTGGTATGCATTTCATGCTTAATGCAGATTTTTTTTCTTCACTTAGTGTTCAATTACAAATCGCTTGTAATGATCTCGTTTGTATCTTGTATCTTGTATCTGTGCAATTAACCATCATTGTAAATACAATTTTAAACATTTCTGTGCTTTTTCATAAATTTTTTATTTTATTTGTTTTTTTTTGCTTGTTAATTTGACTGTCAATAGCATATTTCGCATATCGTTCAATTTTCAATGGCAATTAAAAATCTATTTTTTCTGCTTGGGTATTTCAAAGTTACTTTGGTATCTCGGATTACTTGCAGTTTTATTTTTATAACTTTGAAGGATTTTTTATACGCTTTTTTATAAATTTTTTTGTTTGTTAGCTTTGATTGAATTTTGTGCAATATTCAAGTTACTTTTTGAACGTGAGAAACTTGAATGAGTTAACTAAATCACAGTTATTTGCATAATAACTTTTAACGCTTTTTATATATAAAGTAAATAAATAACACTTGATAGTTTCCAATGAATCTCTGGATACATTTCCGTCAGTTAGATAAACTACAATAACATCTTGCTGAACTATTTCGGATCTAAAGTCAATGTAACATTAAAGAAGTCCGACAAAGATTTGAAGGATTCAAGTATGACAGACCGACAAACGAGGTTTCTCTTATTTCGTTTTGGGTTTGCATCCATAACTGGGAATAAAATGTTAACAGAACAATGACCGATACTTTACAGATAACTATTTTTTAATTATATTTTTTTAAATGTATTTAATACATTTCTTTAAACAAATAACAATAGTTAAAGAAAATATATGACAACATAGCATATAATACTTTATGTATAACAGACATACCTCGGCTAGGCTTACCTAAAATTATTAGACAGATAGTACCAAACAGCATCAATTAATATAAGAAAAAACCTTTTAAAGGTTAAACAAATCACGAGGTATACATTTATGTAATGAAAGAAGAGTTGATAGATAAACTATTAACGTTGCTAAATAAAACTCATCACATACATTTTAGATTCTTACTACTCTAAAATTATTTAAAGAAGAATTATCTTAGGAACGCAGAATACCATTGGGCTACAGCATAGACTGCAGCCTATGTCGATAAGTGGATAGCTTCACTTCAACTTAACAGGTGGAGTGAGAGATGAGCATTTGTAGATGATA